TCACGAGCGTTATCCTGCTACAATTGCATTCTCTTCAAGGAGCGTCATTTTCGAGAAATAAATACCGACTCGTACGTTCTTTCTCAGAATTATCCATCTCACCAAGTGTCCTCAGACTAACTCTCTTCAGTTCACGAGTAACAAACTTCAGTTAACTCTCTTCAGAAACATTCCTCTCCTGAGACGTCATCCTTCATACACATCCACATTCTCGGGCTGTCCCCTATCGAAAAACATTCACCTCCTTCTACAGAAATATGCTCATATTCAAGCATCCTCATACATCTTCTCCAGAGCCATAAGCCGTCTTCAGCATCTCTTCTAATTCAGTGCCTTCCCTTGACTTCCGCTGTCCAACTCACTGGTATATAGTACCCTTTGATCGTCTCCAATGTCGTCCTCCAAAACCATTCACCTCTTCTCCAGAAGTATTCCCTTCTTCAAGCATCCTTCGTCCTCATACACCTGCTTCTCCAGTGCCATTCGGCTTCCCTACCAATCGCCGTCCATCCCAATTGGCACCCCGTCACTAACGCCCGCCCCCTGGGCCCGCGCACCCTCGCACGCTGGTCGCAGGGCGCCCGCCCTTTTAAGCCGCCAACGTCAACTGCTAATCCGAAGCGCGCCGGGCTTGTTGTCTTGCGGTTGTCGCCCGTTGCCCCGCGCCGGGCCGGGCGATCGCCCGCCCGCCCGCTAGGCCCGAACGCCCGCGGTCTGCGGTCGCCTGCTCTGTGCGGGCGCGCGCCATGGCGGGCGGGCGGGCAGGGGATTTGGTCGACTAATGGCGTGTGAGAGGCGGTGGTGTCCTCTTTGATCTGGCCTAGCGGACACTCAGTGGTTGCAGCGTTGTAGTTGCTGTTCGAGTCGACGAGGCAGCGCCGGTGGAGACTCGGAGGTACCGGAAGGATGCACGGGGATTCAATGAGTTTTATTCAGTGGTGATTTCGGTTCTATATATTGACAGAATTGCATACTAATCTTCTGGATGCGTAATGTTCATGGATACGTAACGATTCTTTCCTTCCAATTCTAAAATAACAGTGTTTTTTCGTGTCTTAACTTTCATTTCACTCTGCTTTGTCAGACTCTTATTGTGGGATTTCTTCAATCAAATTCATTTGTAATACTTTTCCATTGTTAAGATCTCTTTTTTGCCCTCTCGGTATTACTACAAATTCTACAGCCACCTTCCTTCACCGTTACTGCTCACATGACCTTCACAGGGATTCACCTCAATTACATCTACTGCACAATTGACTTACACATACATTAATTTTTTTCAAACCTCTTCATTCTCACATATTTTCCCGTATTTCTAAAGAACAAATTAAAACACTGATCATATTACTAATCCTCCTAAATAAAACAAAAGTTTCTGTAAAAGTCTCAAAGTGAAATTCGTTATATAAATAAGTTCAACCGTATTCTACAATACAGCGAACTGGCCAAAATTCTCGCTTTCGTTTAGTAATTACACTCATTTGAGATAATGTAAATCATCTATGAAGAAAGAGTTCAAGTTCATTAATATTCATTTTAAGGAGTCAATAAACGATTCTTTACTTGTTTTTTTCTGAAAAAATCTTAAGGACTTTATATCATAACGCAACATAACATAATCACAACAGAGAAGCAATATAAAAGAAGAAGCAATTTTGAGACTACTGGAATTAATAACAACAAATAATTGAAATGATTTTACAGTAAATGAGTGTGTAATAACGTCCGAATAATAGATCAGCTCGTGAAAATTAATGAAATAATCTTTGAACAGCATAACAACTAATGCAACGAGTGCAAGTTGAGTTCTGCATAATTGAAAATTAAATATAGACGGACAACACGAGAGCGCAGAGTTCACAAAAAGCAATTAGAGCTTATCCTGCGGGCATCCCAACAGACAAAACACTGTAACATTGCGTGTACACATATAAAAAACATTGAACTACTAGTAATGCATTTCATTCCCTGCTAGAAATGTTTAGTAACATAATTACAAATGCAAGGTTATTACCAGACTTAATGTATGTGTTCTAACAAAATGCACAATGTCAAGACAACATAAACGTTATTCGGTTATCACTTTTGCTTTCAAGATTGAGTAATGCAACAACAAGATTTTAAATATAACATTCTCAATGTTATAATGAAACTTTTATTTACAAAATAATTTCGTTATCGGGTTATTAACTCGTAATTGAAACTACTGAACCTTTGGGATATTTAGATTAGCATATTTTGATAAATCATGTTAATTTCCCAATTACCATTGTTTCCCATTTAATTTTCGATGAATTAAAGACCACGTACCACATATTCTGTGAAATTAAAGTGTGAATATTTTTATCTATTTAAACTCCCAACAATCACAAGAACATACTATGTATTTTTCCGTTCCCGGGATGGTACGTATTAGGTTTTTTTCATGCTAGTGCGAATAGATCTTTCTGTAGGTTTCCAGGTCGGTGTTGAAAAAGCGAAACTTTCATGTTCCAGTAAGTACTCGTCCCTTTGGAGACGGTCTCGAATAGCATGGTCGCGACCCCCGACTATCCAGCAGCGCCACCGCGCGTCCCTGCCCTCCCCCCCCCGTGGCTGCGCGTGCCGCACGTCCGCCGGCGCGCGGGCCGGGCTCCGATCAATCGCGGCTCGCGGCCGCGCGCGTCGCCGTCTGCGCCCAGCCTGCCGGCCCTCGCCCACCTGCAGCCGCGCCCCGGAGGGTCGTCAGCGTCTGATTGCTCAAAGCGCGCGGGCGCCCGGCCGCGCTGATTGCGGCTGCGAAGCGCGCGGCGCCGGCGGTTGGCGGCGTGACCAGGCAACGGAATGCAGCGGAGCTATTGGAAACACACGGCGCAATATCAGGGAAGAAAATATTTGCAAAACAGACGAGAAGACAAGCAGGCGCTAAGAAAATAGGAGGAGGTGGAAACGAAGTAGGAAAAAAGTACACGGATATGAATATCGGTGGAGGATCGAGAGTCGTGACCAGGAACATCTGCAGAAGGTATTGAAAATCCAATGCAGTATAACCAGACGGCAACACGCGGAATAACCAGAGAACAGTGGCAAGTTTTTCGCCACTAGCTTGTCAGCGAAGTCGAATTCGGTGACTGTCTGCAGGAGAATTCTGGAGGCCGGTTACACTGATCGGTAGCGTTCCGTAGTTTCTCCAGTCAACACCAGGCGAATGCCGAAGCACTACCACAACAAATTGGCCACGGGCCACGCACGATCTCTCCTTTGTCTAACTTGTCAAATCATCACCCTTTACACACACTTACACTAACAGGCACTAAACGACCACACATGCCGAGAGACCGGTTGAGAGCTTAGAGCTTGTTCCCCTGGTGGGAGATCAAATGCTTCTGTTGGTTGATTATTTGTTAGTTGTTCCGGGCGAATCAACTACAGAAGTAATTGGTCCCATGAGTGTAGTGCATGTTTTTTCGCGGGAGGAAGCGGTATGGCGAGATCCGGCGCCGACCTACCGTCGACTGGCAGCGTTGTCCAAACCAGGGATCTCCCACACCGCTCCAGCCGGGACGATCTCTAAGCCTAAGTGAAACAATGAGAAGATGTGTGAAAACGGAGGTGTTGGTGAAAGAGAACACGCTTCTAAGCAAGAAAGTAATAGTAATGGAATCGGATATTGAACAACATAAATTTCGATATAAAAAGTAATTATGCAGTTAACGAAGATAAAGAAATATTATTGCCAAATTATAAACAAAAAACTCATTGCGTATTAAACGCATCGGCCATTAAAATAATTTAGGACAATCTAGGTTCAAGCCATGGACTAATCGTGACGAAACATGCCCAGTGTCACTCTTAGGTGATCAAATGTATAGGGAATATTTGTAGCGGTTACGTAATTTTTAATAATTGAATTGTAAGTTTTACACTATTTACATTTTTCTCATTACTTGAAAAACACCATCTCGTTCCTCTTGAAAGGCCTTAGTACACATGTCCACGCAATATTTTCACAGATCATTTTATGAAGAAATATTGTTGTGCTTTATTAGCATATAATATCTCGTAGTATTTGTAACGAATATGTAATATTATAATACTGCAAAATCAATTCTACTAATTCAATATTATATACTGCAAAATCAATTCTACTCTATCTATCACGTGAAGTACTCTTTAACAAAAGAAACGCGAGAAATTCTAAATTGCATTTTTTTAGATCAGTTTTTTCAAGTTCACGCTTGCACTTGAAAAGTAACAGAATATCTTAATCGCAAAAGCTGGTCAGCCCATTCAGATAAGAGTGCTATGAAGAATCATGCACGAAAAAAGCAGAAACAAAACTACTAATTATATGTAAGAATGATTTAATAGTGTAAAATATTGATCTTCATTATAATTTTCAAGTAATGATAACGTATTCAATATCATTCTCACACTGAATATTGAGTGTTTATTCTTGAATTGTTAAGTCCGTTGATGGGTACAATAATTATACGTCAGAAATACAAAGGTAATAATACTACGTTTATCTTTTGCCCAACCACTGACTTGGGAGAAAAGTGAGGTTTATAGAGGCGTTGCAGGAGTTGCGCACAGACCACTAATACAAAATGGAAGTTTGCAGCTCTCAGGGTAATGGCTAACACTTCCAAAGAGTGCCATGAAATGAATAGTGACCAAACATTAAAAACAAATTAGTACAAAGTTTACTGAGTGTATGATCGTTTTTCATCAAATATCTCATTTTATTCAGATATGGTATTCCGTGACACGCAAATGAAGTGATCATTTACATTCGTTAATTTGTGCCTAACTAGTAACGGTGAATGAATGTTTTATTGAAATTGAATGAAACTGCATCTTTGCAAACAGCCAATTACTAACATATCAAAAGGGAGTCTCTTCGGAAAATGTAATTGAGAAGTGTTACAGGCTATGCCGAATGTCACTAGACGTGCACCCATTGACGGAATTGCACGTAGAACGAAAGAAATGCATTAAGGCACATGAAGTACAGATACCTTTGTAGGCTGGAGAAGATTGTTGCAACAGATTGTTCAGGAATGTTTCGGAGCCTTTTGCGATACGTTGACAAGACGCCAGCAAACTGGCAACAGTACTACAAATTGTGTTGGCTAGAAAAGAAAGGAACACATTGAAAAGTCCACAGAGGAAAGAGCGCAGGCGTTACGCACATACAATAGCGCACGTGAGGATGGACTTTGTTTGTCTTTGTTTGATATTGGAACCTTTTCTCTCATAAATCTCATTTCTACGAAATGTTGCAGACAAGCCACTACACATCATGCTCTAGAACAAAAATAACTGCCTTTATTGAATCTTATATGTACGTCCATATATTTTGAAACAGATCACACAAATTTAAGATTTAATAAAGTAATAAGAAAGTCATTTTTTGAAAGTGTCCTGCGTGAAAACAAATGAAATGTTTTTAATTTTCGTACTGTATATTTTAGCTAGCATACTTTCAAAATCCACACAAATTATTACTTTCATTTTTCCCTATTTGGTTTTATATATTCTTAACGAAGGTATTTAAACTGAAATGAAATGTAATTAGACAATAGTGTTTCCTGATGCATGGAACAACAGCCAACATTGAAATTAAAAATGCAATTAAAGTGGAATTAAAGAATTTTACGAATATTGTTAAAGAAACCCCCTTTTCTACAATTAATCAAAAATCAAAATATATATTCATTTTGCATTAGCTTGAACAAATTTCATATTATTGTTAAAACATATCCCTGATTAAAGTTTTAATAAATTATCAAGCACTGTGTCCAAGATAAAAAAGCTAGATTCATCTTCAGAAAACAAAATTGACAAATATTGAACATCATGTAGAAACGATACGATTATAATATTGAATTATATTATTGAATGAACTCCTAGCGTCAAATACGATTTACACTTGCCATTCACTTTAGTAAAACACATAATCAAAACTTCCATAAAACATTTTGTTCAAAGAGGAAGTCTCGATTTCCGGTGTAAAGAAATTCATACTGGGAATTTGCATGGCCCGAAGCATTGTCTCGAGCCAGCAATAAACCCGGGACCTTGAATCCGGCCTTCACTCCAGAGATCTGCGCTAACCTTGACCTTTGCACTCTGCACAGAATAGGTTGTCGACTTGTCTATTGTCACCGGAGCCAGGCTGCCTTCGGCGCCGGCGCCGGCGTCTCAGCTCCCGCGGCTCGTCGAGGCGGTGGGAAGCCCCCGGGTTAGGGCTCGCGGGGGAGGGGGGGGAGCAAAGCTTGCGCCCTACGCACCTCCTCACCCAACAGTTACCCTCCCCGCAACCTTCTACCCCCCTCATCCCACCACGTGCGACCCCTCCGCATTGTCTCTCTGTATCTTGCCACCTTCCGCTTCCCGCTATAATCCTTCGCCTCCTCCCCCTATCCCCCCGCCATATTCCCCTCTCTCTCTTTCCACCTCCTTCTTTATCCCTTCCAGCTCCCTCTCTCCACGACACCGCCCTCTCCACCTCCCTCTCTCTCACCATTCTCCACCCCCTCCCCACTCCCTCTCTTCCCGCCATCTCCTTTTCTCTCCGTGCCACCTCCCTCGCTCTCCAACTCCTCCCTTGCCCTCCTTGCCTCCTTCCTCCATATCCCCGCCACGTCTCCTCTCTCCCTCCCACCGCATTACCTCTCTCTCTCTCTCTCCTAGCTACCTCCCTGTCACCCACCGCCATCTCCATCTCTCTCTTCACTGCCTTTCTTGATCCCCTCATCTCGCCCGCGCCATCTTCTCGTCACGGACTCCTCGTCTCAGCCACCTTCGCGTCATCGCCACCGCACTCCTTGGAATCCTTGTCCTTTTTGCATCCCACCGCTCCCGTTCCCCTGCCTCCCTCCCCGGCCTGCCCTTCGCCTCCCGGATCAATCTGCGCGCCCTGCCCGCGCCGCACGCCCCGTGCTCGCGCGTGACGTCACTGCTGACGTCAGAGGCAGCCGAGGGCCGCGCGGGCGACGGGACGCAGGGTCGATTCTCGGCGAAGAAAAGCGCTCTCGTCGCCGGGGAACCGCACCTGGGAGTCAACGCGGGACACCGCAACCGCAGTGAAAGGAATGGTGTATATGGCCTCGCGGAAGATATTAGATTTTGTATTTGTATTTGGCCACTATATGGCCCGTAAAGGGAAATTGGCCTCGGCGCCGTTAGACCCCGGGCCTTCTGGTTCGTCACCCCACAACGGACCAGCGATGTTTCGAATTCCCCTAACCTTCGTGACTTCACATAGTTAACGAAATCGGCTAGCGATGCTGGTTTCGCGGTCATGGCGTTTCGGTAGAACCATTCCAGCCTTCTCCTGGATGACCGAGAGAAACAACGAAAGCCCCTGTCAGAATGGCCGGCACTGGCATTCAACGTTTCAAATTCGAAGTCAGCGCGCTTCACCCAGAACCACTTCACTCGATAAATATTAGTATAAGGGGATGCTAATTCTCTGGATACAACAGGCATGGTTTTTTTTCTTTCCGGTACGTTTCTATTATCCTCAATGCTTTGCTATATAAGGTTTATAAGGTTTTTATAATTATCTAAAACTGTAATGTTAATACGCTTACGGGAGATTGATCTCAACATCAGTAAAGCCAACGGAACTTCAATTTATGAAATGTATGCTTTAGTCTAAAATATTAGACACGTGTAAATAAGAATGATAAGTTTTTAGTAGGTTTTTTCAGAAATAATATAACTTCTTGATCTGAACAATGAAATACGTATTAATGTTTCAGTTATAATATAAATACAGTTTCGCTTTAGATATTTAACTTTGCCTTTAATTAGACATAATCTTCAGTACTTAAGAAAATATTTTACAGTTCATTTGAATTTGTATATTGATTTTAATTGGCAATTTCTGACAGTGGTCACAAAATTTCAAACCTTGATTAAAAATATCAATGTGAAAAACGAGGACGTTTCCGACGCCATGACCGCGCAATCAGTGAAATGGAAGCCTCTCCATTACAAAATGTTTAATGAAGTGTGTATAGTCAAGTATTTTGTGTTAAATTTTCAGAGTATTAAAATGGGAAAGAGATTAAAAACTACGAATTTACATTCTTTCTTGGATACCGCATTTTAAAAACATGGAAAAAGAAAGAGGAACATTTGAGCAAAGAAGAAGTTGTGAACAGAGTTATTGAGAAGAGGAAAATGAGAAGGTGGAAACAGAAGGAGTTCGTACAATAAAAGTAAATTAGCTCAACAACTGACAAGTGAGAAAATAATATTTTAATGTGAATATACGAGTATTGTTTAACTTTAATATATGCACCAAGGCCGTTTTAAGAATTATAATGATCGAGCAACGACCGAGGCAAGTCCGAGGGCCTTTGGCCTGAGGATTTTTGTCATCTGTGACCATTAGAACTGTGTAACGCTCTTGGTTCATTCAAGAGTTTATTTTTATCTGATTTATTTATCATATATTCAGGTGATTTTTATTTACTTATTTGCTAATTAACAAGTACATGTTACCTTGATTATGTTTGTCGTATGATATTTACTTCTCATTATATCCTTTCTATTTTCCTGCTTCAAAAACATGTAGCATGGTTCAAATGTTTTAATATTTCCCTCGAAATCACTAATCTCTATTCTGGTAGGTAATTCAGTGCTCGTAAACTTTCCTGTTGGAGCCAATAGCAAGCAATAATATACTAGGAAACTAGTGATGGTACAGAATGGCAGAGACTTTCTTGTATTGGTTTTCTATTTCCTTTGTTCTCGGCTTGCTCCACACTCTTGCTACATATTCTTGCCAGCTGCCATCTATCTCCACCCAAAGTATATTTTTTTAACTTTTCTTAAGTTTTGGGTTTCCTAATGGTAGGACGGAAATATTATTTTGCAATTTCCTTTGAAAAGGTTGGAGCCGTTTTTAAGAAAATGACGCTTAAGCGCTATTGTAAATTCAAAAGTTGAACTTCTTTCCACAAAAACTATTGAGTTTTTAAAAAAACGTCATTACAAGTCATTTGAAGCACTTAAATGTTCGAAAAGGAATTCAAAATATGAAACTTAACAAATATTCGGAATTTTGTTTAATAACTGCGGACACTCCAAGGCAGTAGTTGTAATAAAGTGTATTAATTACCTCATATGCATTGTAACACCTATTTATGATGCGGCGTGAAATGCACCGGGAAGCACAGTAAAGAATGCACATTTTATTCTGAATAATTTGTTTTTCTTAGTCTTTTGAGCGCAAATCTCAATCCAAATCCAGTACTAATATCATCAAATGCTTGACATCTGAACATGGTGCTGCTCTAAGTGCGTAAATTTATATACGTATACTGTATAACACAATTACTTTATTTTATATAAGTGTTATTAATATTTCATTCAATATCAAATGTAAACATAAACATATCAAGTTTATCTCACTTTCCTGAATAACGACAGCATAAATTAATTTGAACTATAGCCTTTTCCGACTATTAATAATCCTTGTCACAACAAAGTGGCAATTTTTTAACAATTACTCTGGTCTTGTTTCTGTTTTTCTTCGTAAGAATCCCAGGTATGTATATAATCAATTAATATTATTATCGAACAGATTTATAGTGCTCTTCGTTTGTTACATTTCTTTCGATGTGGCCAATGTTCATGATTTTCGTAGTAAAATCTACTTTCTTTATATTATCTAGAAAACGGTTATGCTATTCAACGTCCATCAGTATGATGGAATATTTGTTGGTAAAGCAATGAACTGATGAGGCAAAGACATTTTTTACAAAGTTGGTGAGGGAAAAGTTTAATTTTACTCTTGACTGTTATTGATTCTCACATGGTTTCCACATAGAATTATTGGGCAATGAATGATAATTTTTAACAGAGTAATTTTATTATTTTTTCATGTCGGTTTGTAGTCAAGTGGGATCACATATTTAGGTACATGTTTTCTGTAATTTTCATGCATAGGTTTACCGAAATGAGACGTACAATAACATAAAGAAAATCAACAACAAAAACAATACGTCATTTTTCAAAAAACTATTTGGACGTGATATAGCGTTTTAACAATACAATGAGCCACGGAGTCACTTTCCGTTCAGTTAATTTAAAACAAAATAATATCAGTATGAAA